TGGTTCTAAAAGTCAGCTCAGATATGTACCAGAAACAAAAGCACTCTCCTGCGGAAACAGCAATTATGTATGTGTCTGTATCTGTACATTATAGTTATATTACTAGAAATCAGCGCGAAAACTTCTAACCGAAACACATCCAGCCAACCCAGCCATACTACAAATTACTTAAGATGGATATAGCATCCATAAATAGGATTTATATTATCTTCTGGTTCTAAAAGCTAGCTCAGATATGTACTAGAATTAAAAGCACTCCTGCGGAAACAGCAATTGTATGTGATATGTGACCGTATCTGTACATTATAGTTATATTAGTAGAAATCAGCGAAACACATCTGGGTTGGCTAGATGTGTTTAATCCCGAAACATATCTAGCCAACCCAGCCATAGTACAAATTACCTAAGATGGATATAGCATCCATAAATAGCTATATAGTAAATAAATAGATAAATATTATGCATACCTAATGAGTGTTTATAAGTGAAAAAGAATTAAAATTAAAAATTTAAATGACTTAAAACAAATGTAAAAATTAAAATATTTTAAGTTAGAAAATTTCATAAAAGAATTTCTTTATAAACTAAAGAAATTTCTTGCTTTTAAAGAAAGGCGTTTCCATTATGCTAAAAGCATAATGGAAACGCTTTTCTTTAAAAGCAAGACTTGTTAATTACTTAACTATTTATTAACCGCCATGTCTTTTATTATATTCATATTTATTATTATTAATATGTTAGCAACTATTATTTAAATAATAAAAAATATTAAAAAAAAAAAAAAAAAAGGACTCCAAAGGATTTGATTAACCACTGCACCACACAATTTTGTAACTCAATAAGTTAATAAAGTTTAAATAAAATGAATTTTTTTGACCTATCATATTTTTTTAAGAATAAATGCACCTTAAAATAAAATAATTTCTGCATGGTTAATACATAAGCGTTACGCCAGTGTTACACTATCAGGGTATCAGTGACCTGGGTAAATATATATTATATATATATATATATATATATATATATATATATATATATATATATATATATATATATATATATATAATATATATATATATTAATTCATCGACATTCGAATATTGTTTTCCTTCTGCATAAACACGTCTTGCTAAGATGCCCCAGACATTTTCAATAGGAATTAAATCAAGTGAGAGCGTTTGCCATTCTAATAATTGAATTTTCTTGTTGGTAAACCATGAGATATTTGTCTTTGCTCTATGAATTGGAACATTATCTTGCTGGAAAATAAAATTAGTGTTACCAAATTTTTGCAAGATATCATTCAATGACCATTCAACAAATTTCTATATTCTTTAGCATTTAATGTAGTAGTAATTAAAGTTTTTCAAAAATAACTCCATAAATATCTTCCATAGCCCTTCTTTTTGAAAATATTTTCTCTTTTTATTGTCATACCAGTAGTAATTAAAGCCATCTGGACCATCAAGATTGAATTTTTTTTCATCAGACAACACAATTTTTTGCCATTCTTTTTCCCAAGTCATGTGGTCCTTGGCCCATTGAAGACGAATACATTTGTGTGTTAGTTAGTGTGTTTTTTTACATATCTAAGAAAGCCTGACTTGTTAATTACAGGATTCACCATCTGTCTTAAGCATTTCAATCCCAAATCAGCATCCATTTGTCTTGCGGAGATTGTATGGTTACTAACGGCATGCGCAATTCGTCGCTGTTGGCGAGCTGTAAGTATAGATTTTCTACCACTTGGCATTCGTTAGGATGTATTTTATAATTTGAAAATGTAATAAATTTAATTTGAAAAAGGAGTTTTCTACTATTTTTTTATGACTTTTGATACAATTTAGATAATGAGATAATAATTGTGCACCACAGTTTTAAATGGTTTTATAATTTGAGTTAATTAAAGTATAAATTGATTAATGTAAATTATTTTGTTTATTTCAAAAAATGATCTACAAATAGATTTTGATCAACTAACTTCGAAAGATAAGTTTAAAGGTTTTATATATATATATATATATATATATATATATATATATATATATATATATATATATATATATATATATATATATATATATATATATATATATATATATATATATATATGTTGTGTTTAAAGAAGAATAAAAAATCAAGTACATTTTATATTGTTGTTTTTTTTTTAATAAAAATACTCTGAGTGTTTTTATTTTTAATTTTTTATCGTTTACAAACAAATGCTATAACTGACAAATAAGTATAACATGTGCGGAGTGCTGCTACATCAAGTGACAAGTAGGTAGAACATGAAAAGAGTGTTGCTGCTTTGGCTGACAAATAGGTAAAACATGCCAGGAGTGCTGCATATATATATATATATATTTTATATTATATATATTTTATATAATATATATTTTATATAATATATATTTTATATAATATATATTTTATATAATATATATTTTATATAATATATATATATATATATATATATATATATATATATATATGTATATATATATATATATATATATATATATATATATATATATATATATATATATATATATATACACACATAAATAGGCAGTAGCATGACTTCCTGATTGATCAATATAATAATTATATATGAATCTGTATTTGCCAGATAGCGGTCAAATAAGATAGAAGTATAATAATACTTATATTTATTATACTTATGTTGCCTTTCAGAAATATATTCAAGTATTATCTTCAATCATAATGTCTGAAAAAGTGCTTAAAAAATGATAGAAGAATCTGAATATGAATGAAGAATCTTGTACAATTTTATCACATAGGGAAAGAGGAACTGTTTCACTAGAAGAACAATCACTGAAAGAAATCACTGAAACAACTAAAATCAAGAAATCAAAAATTACTAAAAATAATCACTGAAAGATAACTGTAGGATACCACTGAAAATCCAAATTGTTTTTCGTTATTGGTTCTTGGAAGAATCCTTTAAAGGCAGATAAGAATGTATAAAGAAAATTGAGAAATAATTAAGAAGTTTATGGCAAAAACAAAATATTTTCCACATTTATCAAGTAAGTATTTATCCTACAGGCCAAACTGGATCAAGTGATGAAGATGTGCAAAAGATGTGTACAACAAAGAAAATACAATCCATTGAATGAAGGTTTTGACATCACAAAAAAAAAAAAGACGAATGGCTCAGCAGTGAGGACAAAAACATTGTATCATCTTCAGATTGAAAGCAAATGACAGGTCAGGTATACAACTGGGAAGGTTGCAAGTTCAATATCAATAATGATATTTCAACTATCCATTTATCCAAAAGAAGAAAAATGTTCTTGAAGAGTACTTCAGCAACAGTGACACCATACATAGCAACAGTGACACCATCAACTTCCGATTTCGGAGTTGTAGCAGAATATCAAGAGTATCAGCAAAAACTAAAGAAAATCCAAAACTGCAAACATCTTCTAGGTTATCAACAAGCAAAGCAGTTGATCAACAAAACCATTTGTTGACAATCACAAGATCTTAATTGAGATCATCTTCACAGCTTTGTTTATTCAGATCAACTATTGAAGAAGAATTTAAACTAAAAAAAAAAAAAAATACTTCATTTAGAAAGCTGGTCACTGCACTTTGATCGTAAATGTTTTTTTATTGACCAAGAATATCAAGTGCTAATAAACAAAGTGAAGTAGAGAAAAACAAAGTGAGCATCCATCAAAGGAAGACAGAAACACATAAAGCATATTGAGAAAGAAGTAATAAATTTATGACAAAAAATAAAATTTTCCAAATTTATTAATTCAGGTTGTACTGGATTAAGTGCTAACAAAGTACAATAAATATGTAAAACATGGAAAATACAATCAATTAAATGAGGTTTTGTACATTAAAAAAAAGACAGTGTTAGTGTTGAACAAGTATTTTTTTATTTATAAAGAAGTTTTAAGTTACAAGCACTTGATCTACTCGGCAGAAAATTAGATACTGTTGTTAAAGCTATAACAGCTGTTCTTGATGAATACAATTTATGGAAAAGTATAAAGATGATTGATTGATGCAAGGAATGTAAACGCTGGAAGAAGAAATGGGATTGTCAGTCAGTTACAAAGGAGTTTTACTGAAAAGAAACTGGAAGAAATACAATTCATTTGCTGCCAACATCATTTTCTTGATCAAGTTCTTCTTATTGTAATAATGAAGAACTTGGAGGAAACAACATGTGACCAATATGGAATATCCATTTATCCTGGAACTTGTAAAAAACTATGAGAAGAATTTTAAGAATGGTAAAGAAGTGATTACTGAAACAGCAAAATCGGGTGATTATATAAAGTTTCTATTTCATTAAATTCTTTTTTGAAGAATCTGGAATATTTTATAATTCAAAGTGAATTTAAATTATAAAATACTCCAGATTTCTAAATTAACTAATGCAAAAACCTCATGCTTATAAGGGAAGCTCACTGCCACTACACCACTACCACATATTTAGAGTGTTATTATGTAACAATAAATTGTTAAATACTTAATAACTACCTAATAGCTCTCAAATTATAAATATGGATATTTTATGGTAAAAAAATATGAAATAAATTCGAATTTTTTAGTTAACTTTTTTCAGCAAGATAATCAAAATATTTTTTTTTTCATTACTTTTGTACAAATATTCATCAATTTATGAACCAAGAACATGGAGTCACAAAAAAATCATAACCCTAATACACATATATATAAATATATAAATAAATATATATATATATATATATATATATATATATATATATATATATATATATATATATATATATATATATATATATATATATATATATATATATATATATGTATATATAAATATATATATATATATATATTATTTTTATATATATATATATATATATATATATATATATATATATATATATATATATATATATATATATATATATATACATACACATATAAATTTGTATATAACACATAATTTAACACAATAATACTTTTTTCAGATGTAAAGCAACAAATTCGAAAAAAAGCACTAAAAGTTCACAATTATTATCGTAAAGTTCATGATGCTTTGCCATTAAAGCTTGACAATGATCTAAATGAAAATGCTGAAAGCTGGGCATTAGAAGTAGCTAGGGAAGGAAAACTTAAGCATTCCAACATTGTGGGAGGTTTTTATGGAGAAAATTTGTGGTTTAAGTGTACATCTGGATACTCTAACATAACTGATGCTCAATTTGTTAAAGATTGGTAATTTTTTCAACATATATAAAATAATACATTTATAAAAATTACAGCATAATGACTAAAGTTTTTATCATTATATATATATATATATATATATATATATATATATATATATATATATATATATATATTATATATATATATATATATATATATATATATATATATATATATATATATATATATATATATATATATATAATAGCTGCATATATTATTATATTATTATATATAATAGCCGCATTTTTAAAATGTATAATTAGAATCATAAACCTTAAAAAATAGTAATTAAATTTAGCTCGGGCAAGGACCTTGGTTATCTAATCATGTATGTACTGTAGCCTCTCAACTTATGTACTAATTGTTATTTTCAGTACAACATTAGTTGTGTTTTTGTGTTGATACTATTAAATAAACTGTAAACAAAACTACAAGCAATGACATTTAAATTTTACTTTTTTAAAATTAGGATTTTTTTTTTTAATGCAATCAAACTTTAAAATAAATTATTCAATGTTACTTACATTAGGTATGATGAAGTTTGTCATCCTACAATTTACAATTTCAAAGTGCAAAAAAAGCAGAAAGAAACGGCACATTTCACACAAATTGTTTGGGCTCGTTCAACCAAATTAGGAGTCGGATTTGTTGCTACAAAATCTAATGGGCAATATTGTACATATGTAGTTGCTAGATATACACCAAAAGGAAATACAGAGGATAAATTTTTAGAAAATGTGAAAGAAGTAATTTTTATTTATTTTTATTTGTTTTTTTTTTAAGTTAATTTATTACATTTTTTTAACAATATCCAACTATTGATGATTTACATTTGACTTCAGTTTTTAGAGATGTTGGTATGTATACATGAACTCAATCTAGAGTGATATCTTAGTATTAGTAGTACGCCCCATCTCCACAACTTTTTGTGCAATGTTAGGTCTTTTTACACTCCTAATAAAGGTCTGCAATGCCAAAAAAATGTTTTTAAATTGAGTAAAAAATATTTTTTTGAATACTTTTAAGGACATGAGCATACTTATGGATACTTAAGGTATTCATAAGTATAATTTTTGGTATTAGTATCTATCTAATGTTATAAGTATGTTATAAGTATTCATTAGGATTAATATACTAATTAGGATTATTTAATATACTAATTAAGATAGATTAACATTAGGATTAACAAACTAAAACATAAAACACATAAAAAATATAAGAAAAGGCTCTGCAAGTAAAACTTAGCTGCAAAAAAAAATATGCCATGAAATGTATTTAACTATTTACTTAAAAGAAATTATTTTGATATATTTAATGGTAAAATGAAATATATCAAAATATTTACTTTTAAGTAAATTTAGTAAAAAAAAATTGTAACAGATAATCATCAGCGCAAACAATACAAAAGTTAATATAACAATTAAGTAAATTGATCAAAAAAAATTTATTTTGTTCTTTTGATCAAATTAAAGATTGTTTCACACTTGAGAATGTGAAATATTTTTTTAAGTATCTGATTTAGGCACAAAGAATCTTTTAAATTAATGCATAAAATCCCTGAGTTAAGAAATCAGGCAATATCATACTAAAAATTACAATTAATAGTACTAATATATAATATTAGCACTAAAGACACAAAAAGTCATAAAATTTTAACAATTGTTTTACAAAAGTATTAATACAATTTTATTTTAATTTGATTATAATTTATTTTGACCAATCTGCTATCACTCTACCATGTTTCTTTTTAACTAATAATTTTTACAGCTCCTAACATCAAACTATAAGCTAATTCAAAGTGTAATGAACACAATTCATTCTTTCAAACACTAATTACTGATTTTTGAATTTTTGAAAAATTGTTTCAATTTTTTTTTCGATTTTATTTCACTTCCAACAAGGCTGCAAGCAACCACTATTAAGTTGAAAGTTACTGGGAAACAAAAAATAGAGTTTAAGAGCAAGTAAACAGTTGACAGGAGACTTGAAAGGTTGTAGGTTGAGTCAGGAAAACATGAAGATGGGAGAGAGTTCCAAAGAGTTAAAGTGCAAGGGAAAAAATTAGGCAAATAATGGTTTTTAGAGAATGCAGTGATAGATATAGTAAATAGATGAGACTTAGCTGAATGGCAGGTCAAACAAGAATGAGTTTTAGTTAGTGGAACTAGAGATGATAACTTCTTTAAGCAGCAACCATGATAGTATTTGTAAAAAAGGGAAAGAGATGCAATTTTATGATGATGGGAAAGAGGCTCAAGCTTGGTAGATAGAGTTTACAATGAGTTATTGAACCTTGTCTAGAAGAGAAAGAGCCTTATTAGAAAAACCAGTCCAAATATGACAACAGTATTCCATACAGAGATGAATAAGAGATTTGTAGAGGTAGAAAATGGAATCAGTAAAGAAAAAATGACAAGCACAATAAAGAGAAGCAACCTTAGCAGATGCTAGTTTAGCAATGGATTGTTTATATGGTTTCCATGAAAGGTCAGTAGTAAACAATAATCCAAGAAGGCGTAAAGAAGAGGACTCAGTAAGAGGGTTGTCAATCATTAATATAAGAATATCCATCGCACTGCAATAGGTGTTTGTAGTAAATAACTGAGTTTTTTTGAAGTTAAAACAAGTCACTGTGAGCCCCAATCTGTTACATAAGTGAGATCAGATTCAAGCTCCGTTGTCTGTTCCAAGCAATTGAGATATTATTAAAATATCCTTTAAACAAAACAGAAGCTCATTTATTTATTTTTATTTTTATTAACCTTTTTGTAATTAAGTTTAAAGATTATATATGGTTTGTGCTGATTCTTTATCAGAACTGTATCTGGTAAACTGTGTTTATGCTGAGTTAGTCATCAGAACTGTATCTGGTATTAATTTGTTAACCTTAAAAATCTGTTATTCGCTTTTTTTTTTTTTATGACAACATTAAATGCATGCAGTGAAAATAGAACAAATACTTGAAAACTACCACAGAGAAAGAAAAGTGAGCTTTGAATATTATTGTTTAAACTTACATAGATCAGGTTATTTATCTACTTGTAAACCATTATTTACACTTAAAGAAATGTATTGCTATGGTAATTTTAATACAACATATTATAAATAGTTAATATAACATATTAAATAGTTAATATAAAATATTAAATAATTTTCATGGTTTTATTTAGTTATCAAAGTAAATTTTATTTGGTCTGTTATTAATTTTAAAATAAAATATTTATTTAGTCAAGTTACTAAAATACAACCCAGTGTGTTGAATTTAGCTAGCACTACAATGTGTCTAATCTATTTTATATATTACTAATCTATGTACTCTATTTTTTTAAATTATGTTGAGTATCAAAGTTGAATAATACTGAACTAATAATTCTTTAATAAAAACTATAATTTTCATCAGTAATTTTAACATAATATATAACATAAATAAGTTATATTTATTTAAATAATCGTTTGTAATAAAATGTCTTGCAGCATTATATTATTATTTTGTCCTGCTTAAATCTCTTACAATCATTGTTCTGTTTTAACTGATAATAGTAAGAAATAAACAATTTTGGTATTGTTTAAGGTTTCATTAAAATATTTTTATTAAGTATTAATATTTAGTCTTTCAAACATAGTCATCTCTTTTTTGATGTAGGTCAGCTATTGTTTTTATATTTTTTTTACAAGAAAAATGGTCAACCTTTCTTTTTTGTAAATTGTTTTCAATATCAATCTTTTGAAATTCAGGAGAACAACTTCTAACTTTTTGGAACCAACTGCGACAATTTGAGTTAAAACTTTTACTTTGAAAACAATCGATGTTTTTAAAGTTTTTAAAAACAGTTAAATTTGATCTTAGCAACTAAAGTTGGTCAATATATTTTTTATTGTAGTCAGTAGATGGTTTCTAATTTTCAGATGATTTTTTTTAAGGCTTCAGTCATTCGCTTTTTTTTAAGTTTATTTTTCTTTGCTTTGCACATGCACAACATTTTTTTATAATGTTTTTTTAAAATATTAATTTTCTCTCTAAGTTAAACAAATTTATGTACTATAAAGTATAAATAATATTAAAATATATATCCGAAACATACAAAATATTAAATATGTGCTTAAGTAACAATCAAGTGCTTAAAACAATCAAATACTTAAGGGTAATTGAAACATAAACAACAAGGCATTAGGATAAGAAATAATGAATTGGAGGGAAATATTTCAATTGTTTTTATTGTTAAAAATTGTTTGCTCCTTATACAATTTGTTACTACATTATTATTGTTTTTTAGGGGTATTTTAACAGTGAAACATGCAAAAGTTCAGTTAAACAGTCAGAAAATAAATTTCCTTTATTAAATGAAATAAAAATGTTTTCGGGTAATAAAGTCAAAGCAAACTTATCAGTCGAAGAAAAGGTTAAAACAATCGAAGAAAAAGTTAAAACTGGTGAAAGTAAAGTTTTGAATGCTCCTGTTACCCAAGTAAAAGTTCAATCATTAGTTAAAAATGATTCTGTTTTGTCAGCAGAGTTACATCCTAAAGTTCAGTCCAATGCGAAGGCAAAGTGTGAAATACGATCCCCACAGGTTGCAATTCAAGATATAGGTATTTTTTTTTCGAATAAGAAATGTTTTTTTATTAATATAATATAGAAAACTTTAGGTTATTATAATAATTGAAACTTCTTAAATGTTCTATAGAAAATTGTTGAAATAACTTTTTGTAAATGTCTATGCATTTAAATAAAAAGGATTTTAAAAAAGAGTTGATTTAGTATAACTCATACAAATATTTTTAAACAAATAAATATCTATATAAATATTTTAAAATAACTAATTTCTTAGCAGAAATTTTTAATTCTTTAACTTGAAGTTAAAACAAGTCACTGTGAACCCCAATCTGTTACATAAGTGAGATCAGATTCAAGCTCCGTTGTCTGTTCCAAGTTGATTTTTTTAGTGAAAATTTGATGCTTTGCGCTAACAATTAAGTTTTTTCCAAACCTCTTATAAGAAGAATGTTTTTTTTCTACCATTTTTTTTTAATTATCCCCTCATTTCTTATTTATAACTTATTTAACTCATAAACATTTTATGTTGCTTTATTCTCCTTGTTGCTAGGTGATTATACAAATTTTTAATATTTTTAATCATCATAAAATATCAGTTTTGACCCCTGAAACTAATAGTTATACCAAGCAATCATAATTTACACAGATTGATTGGTGTTTAAAAAAATGTCATCTTTGCTAGCCATGGAGGCTAGCAGAGGAAGATATTTTTTTTAATGTGCAACTACTGATTTTTATTTGTCAATTTAAAGACAAGATAACTAATTGTTATAAAAAACAAGAATGTTAACAATATACAATTACAACTTTTTTCACTTGTTACTATAAACATTTATAACAAAGAATAAAAAAATTTTAGCAAAAAAAAAAGGGAGTGAGCTGAAATTTGGTTAAAGTTTTAGATCTTTTAAATAATGTTGAATAGCTGACTTTATTTTTAAAGAATGAGGGAAGGAGGGGGATTCATCCACACAAAGCTCATACAAAAGAAAAAATCCATCAAAATTATGAATTATTAATTTATGACACATGCACATTGTTTGTTTTTGATTATTACAAAAAAAGAAAAATGTTGTTAAAGATGGTTAATAAACAAAGTAAATTATATAATACAATTAGAAATATATAAGAATTATCTATAGTGTCAGAGGTTTTAATGAAAAACATTTTTTTTCCTGTTGCAATTGCAAGTTATTTTATAGATGCAAAACATTCAATGTTCAGCATTAAACTTTCAATGAATGTCTGCGGATGCATTACTCTGAAAATAAATAGTTATAGTTACACTATTGTTGTTGGATGTTCCAAGCAATTTTTTAAAGATGAGTCTGATTTTCTAATTAGTGATTTTTTTTATATCACAGATGAAAAGAACTATCAAGACGATTTTGTGATTGTAATGAACAAATTTCGTAAAATGCATTTAAGCCAGCCAGTTACAACAAGCGCTATTTTGGGGGCAGAGACCAAAGCTACTGCAACACAGTATATAAAAGGAATGCGTAAAGGAATGGTTGATCCTGGTGAAATGGTGCAGGTAACTTGCAACCCACTGGACAGAGTTCTTCCTCCTGAAGATGCTTTCTCAAATTGGTAACATTTTATTTTGTTTACTTGTATTCACTTTTTTTTAAAAAATAATCTGTTATCAAGTTGAATTAAAATAAAAAAACTGAAAAAATTAAAATTTAGAACTAAAGAAACTAATCTTCATTTTTTAGTTCAATAATTCAAATAAAATACTTGTAATAAAATATATGTAGGTATAATGAGCTGTGCACAAAAAACTACCAATTTGACAAAGAAACTCGAATTCATTTACATGCCACTCAGGTAGGTGCATATATTAGTTTTAGTAAGTGCATATATTTAGTTTTATTAAGTGCATATATTTATTTTTATATTTTAATATAAGTTTATTATTAACATAATTTTGTAGTAGAGATAACATTAAACTCAGGTTACAAATACTTAAATGCAACAGATGTGTGTATTTTTACTTGAAAATTGCAAAGAATTTATTTTTATGTTGCAAGGAATTTATTTTTATGTTTCACATATATTATTAAAATAAATATATTATTTATCTAAACTACTTTTTAAATGTTAGTTGATTTGGAACGATACAGTGGAAGTTGGGGTTGCTTATGCAACAAAGAAAAAAAAAAATTCTTTGTGCACAGTTGTAGTTGCTAAGTTTTTTCCACCTGGAAATATTCCTGGAAAGTTTGTTCAAAATGTAAAAAAAGGATCATTTGATCGATCTTTTTGTGGAAGCACCAATACGATCGCTATTGCAGCATTAGAAAACTCTGGTAAAAAATTGTAATAATATTATTATTAATATTTATAATAATAATAGTAATAATATTATTATTATTGAAAAAGTATAAAATTTATATTTTATTATAATACTGGCAAAATATAAAATTTATATAATATAATGGCAAATTATAAAAATTATAATGTAATACTGAAAAGTATATATGATGTTGTATTATAATGTTTACAAACAAATAAAAGTAATAAGCAAGTATGCAAAGTTTATCATTACCATTGGGTGGATGGGTGTAAATATGAATGGGTGCATGCAAATATAAAATTTAGATAATATGTTTCTTTAGATTTAAAGAATGCAAGTGACAATATTTTGCCAGCAGGAGAATCAAAACAACTTGTAAAATGGGAAGGTTTGAAAACATCATTATTACTAAGCAAACAGGGGAGGGAGGTTTAATTAGATTCTTTAATTTGATAAACTAACAATCTTTATGAAATTGCGTTATACATTCTTTTAGAGGATTGTGATTCTCCTACCGATAAAAAGTTCCATTTTGAAGAAATAAATTATGCTCCAGAAGAATCCAAATTTCCACTTGAGACAAAACATCAGTCTAAATCTCCATCAGAGTTTAAGTTTTTACAAGTGAGCAAAACTTCACAAGAGTCAAAATCACCAATTGATAAAAAGGTTTTGAATGATTCTAAATCAATAGAGTCTAAAGTTCATGAGCAGTCTAAACTTTCACTGGAGAAAAAGCCTTCTAAACAGTCTGAAACCACATTAGAGTCAAATTTATTACCAGAGTCTAAATCTAACCTGGAATCTAAATTGCCTAAAGAGTCAAAATCTTCACTGGAATCTAAGTTGTCAGAAGGATCTACAGCTCCAGTGACCTCAAATTTTAAACAAGATCCAAAGTTACCTAAAGAATCAAATTCACAAAAATCAAAACCAATACTAGATTTAAAGTTCTCTCAAGATTCTAAATCTGCGTTATTGTCAAAGTTTCCAGTTGAGTCTAAAAATATACTAGACTCTAATTTTCCACTTGAAACAAAGTTTATACAAGAGTCTAAAACTGTACTGGATTCAAAGTTTCCTAAAAAGCCTAAATCTCTACTTGAGACAAAGTTTTCACAGGAATCTACTTCTTCAATGGACTCAAAATTTCCACAAGAATCTACTTCTTCAATAGACTCAAATTTTCCACAAGATTCTACTTCTTTACTAGACTCAAATTTTCCACAAAGCTTTACATCTCCGTTAAAGTCCAACTTTTCAGTTGAATCTGAATCTCTGCCAGAATCAAAATTTCCAAAAGATTTTAAATCTAATCAAGAGTTAAACCTTCCAGAAGATTCTAAACCTTCACCACAGTCAAAGATTTCAGAAAATTCTAAATCTCTGCAAGAGTCTAAAACTCCAGAAAAATCTAAATCTCCTCTTAATATTAAATTTTCAGAAAAAACTAAAACTGTATCAGAATCTGAATTTCCTAAAGATTCCAAATCTCCTCTTCGATTAAAAGTTTCAGAAGAGTCAGAATCGCTTTCTGAATCAAAGTTGTTCAACGAATCCGAATCTTCTCAAGAGGCAAAAATTGCAGCAGAGTCTAAATCTCTGTTGGAGTCGAAGTTTCCTGAAGAATCAAATTCATTATCAGAGAATTCCACACAGGAATCTAAATTATCTTTTGAAGATTCTGATTCTTATGATTCAAACAACAAACAAGCATCCAACTTTTCTGTTGGCGTTAATGAAGTGAAATCGGGTATGTAAAATAATAATTAAAAAAATTATGCTTTTTATATTGATAACATCGCCTATATATATATATATATATATATATATATATATATATATATATATATATATATATATATATATATATATATATATATATATATATATATATATATATATATATATATATATATATATCAATTATATGAGAGCAATATAAGTAAATGTGTCAAATGTATACAAATAAATACTATATACTATTTTGAATATTATTATGAATTACTTATAAATTTTCATTTAAATGTTATAATGAATTATTTTATTATATTATTATATATATATATAAATTTTTTTTAAATTAGATTTTTATCGGATGACTATTTTACAGATTAAACCTTATTTTTTCTAAAGTTTAGATTTTTTTTTCAATTTATTTATTATTTTTTTTACATATTTAAATTTTTTATAAGTTGTGAGTGTTTTTTAAATTTAAAATATGTTTCAGAAATTTTAGTCATTAATTTATATATATATATATATATATATATATATATATATATATATATATATATATATATATATATATATATACATATATATATATACATATATATATATATATATATTTATATATATATATATATATATATATATATATATATATATATATATATATATATTTATATATATTTATATATATATATACATATATTATATATATATATATATATATATATATATATATATATATATATATTATATATATGTATTATATATATATATTATATATATATATATATATATATATATATATATATATATATATATATATATATTATATATAATATATATATATATATATATATATATATATATATATATATAATATATATATATATATATATATATATATATATATATATATATAATATATAATATATGTATAATATATATATATATATATATATATATATATATATATATATATATATATATATATATATTTATATATATATGTATACATATATTTTATATATATATATATATATATATATATATATATTATATATATATATATTATATATATATATATATATAT